ACAAACGCTGAAATTTTATGAGCCAGGATATAAGAAAATGAGTTATAAGCATAATAATAATCACGGGTTTTTAAACATTGCATATATTGCTCCTGAATTCAATTTGGTACTATCGTTGAAAAGTTAGTTTGTGAACTATTTTTACACAGTGAGTTATTTTTAATAAACAAATACGACAAGAGAAATTCTATATCAAATACTGATTCTACACGATTGATATGAATTCGTATGATATAATATATATCGGGACTTGTTTTAACCCTTACAATACGGTGTGGTCACTAGATCTAGATAAAGACGGCTTTAAAATGTATTTAAATGGAATAACTCAGTACTCAGTAGTGTACAGTATTCGCTTGGGTTCTTGGGTATAACCTATAAAAAGTTGTTATTTCGGTCTCAGTCTACACTCAAACTCTGGCTAATTGTAGTTTGCGCATGCGTTCTCAGTATGGTTACGATATTTTTATTAGTTTCTTTCTTTTATTTTGTGGATCATTTGTGTCTATTAAAGGAAGTCTTTTGCAGTTTCGCAACTGTATATAAACATTGCTTAACTATTAACAGAATTTTGGTAGTTTTGATTCTAACCGTATCGTTAGTCAAGATTTCGCTTACAAAAACAAGGTACTATTGAACAGTTAAACTGTTGTTACAATGTTGCAAACAAAAGAATGTTCATTCATAGATTGTTATTAACAATAAAGCATAGGAAAATAGTTGATTCAACTGCCTTTTTTGATAGAAGAGTTCCATCTGCCAAACAAAACAGTCGTGTCTTAGTTTAGGGGAGCAGCCGGCTACTCCCTGGCCGATATTTTTGTGGTTGCTGTATGTCGAAGAAGACGTCGTTTTCGATAGCGGGTACTATCATTACAATGGAATGGAGTACAACCTACACTATTTGTTGCCAAAATTACATTGCTGCTATATCGAATACCTTTTACTTTTACTTAAAAGTTCGTATCATATTATACTCTAGTTTCTGAAAAGTTTTGTATTTACGTTAATTAAATCATTCATTTATTCATTCATTCATTTACTTTTGGTAAAGCATTTGTCACGCGTATTTTAATTGGTATATATAATCTTCTGTATCTATGTAATTTTGTTTATTCTGTTTACTTGCTTTAAATATAGTTTATTTATAGCCCTCTTGCTTTTATTTGTCTATGGTAATATACAAACCCAAAGCGGAATAGTTCTAGATTGACAATAGACATTCTGATACCTTTCTGAGTGTTATAATAGAGGTTATCGTATGTGCGGAAAGCAACAAAGTCATTCTATTTTTTTTTGGAAAGTTTTTTATGTGTGTGAAATATACGCCTTCTGGGACTTATACATCCCAGCACTAATGATTCGGAGAATATATTTATCCCAGCTGTGTTTTCTTTAATAATATTATTTATTACGTTTCAGGAAAAATCGCGCTCTCACGAAAAAAGAATTGAAAGATACAGTCGAAAACTTATCTGATTTGGAGATGACACAATATCCTTTTCACGACAGTAATGACAGCGCCGATTCAGAATATAAAATGCTCTGATACCGACTCAAACTTCTCATTCTCTTCTTACTTGAGCAACCGCAGTTTCAGAATCCGGATAGGACAAGTCCTATCCGAACTCGGGAACCCGGAAGCTGGAGTACCACAGGGAGCGGTACTGTCACCTCTGCTGTACACGATATACACAGCAGACATACCTAGAACACCAGTACATTATTAAGTCTCTATGCTGACGACACAGCGATAGCGGCCAAACACCGAAATGTAGACATAGCAGTCACCAATCTACAGACAGCGTTAGACGACATTGAAGAATGGAGTCTAAAGTGGAAATTAAAATCAATTCAGACAAGACACAAGCTGTACTCTTCCAAAAGAGGCGAGAACAACCAGAAGAACAGGTCACAGTGCAAGAAAATCCCATTGAGTGGAAAAGCGAAGCGAAATACCTCGAGTAATAATGGACAAAGGACTAACTTTCAATAAACACGTAGAAGCCACAGTGCAAAAAGCCAACATGGCAAGGGCCGCAATAAGAGGCCTAGCGGGAAGGAAAAGCAAATTACGAATAAAAACCAAAATAAGGCTAATAAACAGTATAGTCCTTCCTATACTGACATACGCATCACTTGCATGGGGACATATATGCAACACAACGAAAAAGAAAATACAGGCACAACACAACAAAAGCCTAAGAGAAGCGGTAAACGTACCAAGATACGTAGCTGAAAGATTCCTGTTCAGAGAGTTACAGCAAATCAGAGTGACTGATACAATGAAAGAAAAAGCTAGGATAAAATTCGCAGAACTAGAGAACCACCCTAGTCACATCCTACGAGAGATAATGAGGTATGACGCTTTCCACAGATGGAAGCACAAAAGACCAAAACAACAAATATTAGACTAACGCAAAACCAGAGGGAAAAATAAAAAAACCCCCCAATAGGGACAAAATATTACAAAAAGCCCAGAGTGAGAAGAAAATCTAATCAAAACACACACACATAAAGAAGACAGTTCGTAGCTCAAATCACCCAGAATATCGCAAATCGCCTCATTCACAGTGGGCCCTGTTGCTCACACTAGGATGCAGTCTACATTGTGGTAATGTATAATATTTAAATATTTTCTTTATTATAGTGTAGACTATGTACTAATTATGACTTTTCTTTTCACAGGTGACCTACAAAAAAAATCATAAAAAACACAAAAAACGGCTTCGGCCACCAAAAAAATTAAAAAACACTAACAAAAACCGGCTTCGGCCACCAAAAAAACTAACAAAAACCCCAAAACCCGGGCACGTAGGGCCCAACCCCCTTGAGCACCAAGTCGCCGACTGAGCGGGACTCAGAGCGGAGACTTGAGGCCCAAGTAAGCAATTTTAGTTCGCGGATAAGCTACATTAAGATAAACAGGAATAAAGCGGAGATGCGCTGTCCTGAGTTTTCACATACGGTTAGGAAACCATGTTGGGGTTCAATTACCCAGGACCTCCACATGAAGAGCACTTGGCTGATTGTTGTGCCTCTATAGCGAATCAGATTGCTATAGGGGGGAAAGGGATGGTCTAGAGCATTGGAGCACGGTGGGGTGATTCCTGTTTTTAAACACGAATTAAACACCTTGCTCCAATGAATTGTTACACCCGATCGTACTACCTGGGTGAACATGTCTCATAGGCTGGGTTCAACCAAATTGCTTGCTTGCTTGCAAACTTCTCATTAGAAAAACCTTGGCGAACCAGCTGAAGAAAAAGTACATAATCAAATTGAAGCTAAAGAAGATAGTCATTTAACTGACGCACAGCAGCCACATATTCTAGATTTAAGTTTTGATTGGACCAAAAATGTCAACAACATCGTCCCAAAGTATGTTATCCCCTCGCATGACAAACCAACGGTTACAGATAAAATAAATATTCTGTGATTACCTGCTTCTATATAAGGTTTCTGAAATCTTTTAAAATGCGTTTGTAAATATTGGTAGAACTAAAAAACAGAAATATTCAAGAAACATCTCCAAGCGAAATCAAAGTTGTTTTAGGATGTACCCTTATAATATCCTATAATCGCTTGCTGGTAATATACATGTACTGTTCTAAACGCAAGTCTTTAAGCAATAAAGTCATAAAAGATGCAGTATCCAGGGATCGGTTTTTACTACTTATGTGTAAGATATATTTTAATAAACCCAATACACCAAATTATGCATCAAAACTATATTATATAGAAGTTCTTTCCTGTTTTTCTTCTTTTCTAGCTGCAAGAAGTGACAGTACCTTTCAGTTGATAAAGTTCAGTAGATAAATCTATGACTAAATTCAGGTGGAGATCTTCCCTAAAACAATAACTCTCCTTGAAACCGGTAAAAAAGGATAAAGATATGGATCAGGTGAGACTCCAACATAGGCTACCTGTATGATATAAACATCTACAGACGAAAAGAAACGGAACCAACAGAGAGCACAGTTAGTCAACGAGTTGTACTAAAATTAGCAGTCTAAAAGAACTTAGTTGTCCAGACGTAACAATTTTTTATAACCATTATATGGACAACACCGATCACGCTGATCACATGATTACTCTCTACGACTTAGACAGAGGGAGTGCCAAATGGTGGAAAGTGATTTTTTGATTGCTAATGACTGCAATAATGCTTCAACAACTTGTTATCGAGTTGGCATAATCGCTAATTATTAGATGTAAATAAAAATCATCTCATAAAAGAATAAGGAAACAAGTCCGCATTTTAAAGAGAGTTGAGCATTGCACTAATATTAGTAATAATCTTCAATTGGAAAAGATGGAAGGAATAAATGTGTTCGCTGTAAAAACCTACGAAATCGAAAAAAACAACAAAAATTATTTGTCGTCAGTGTCAAGTACTCCTTGTCATACATAGAATGTTTTATAGTTCATAAAAATAATTTTTTTTCTTTAATTGCATCATACTGTTTATTTATTACTATTGAGACCTATTTGCCCCATTATTCTTTACTGCTGGGATAGATATGTCCCAGGACCTTTTGTAAAAGCTATTTTTGTTTATAGTTTATATTTTTTAACTCCATATGTTTAGATCTCTATAATTTAAAATGGAAGATATTAATAAAATCCAAATCTCGTATTGAAAGGGTTAATTTACATCGCCCATATTATTTTCATTGCTTACAGAATATCTGGTTTTTTACGTCAGAACAGTAATTCTTAAAGGCAGATGATCACGTACTAATCTAATATCTACAGTAAACAACAAGGCGCAGCTGTGTTTAACTTAGTTATGCTCGATTTAAGGCTTTGTAGACAAAACTGTACATTTAAAACAATATACGTTTACGTTTGTATAAAACTGGTTTTCATATCATAAAACTAAAAGTAGTTGCTAATTTTCTTATGAACCAAAAATGTTGAAAGCTACATGACTTTTAACTCAGAATGTAGCGTCAAATCTACACGAGAAAAAGTAAGTAACTTCCTTAGCAATTTCATCATAAGTCAATAGTCTGTGATAGTTCTAATTTTTTCTTCAGTCCGCTTTTGTCCATCTCCAGTTCTACAGTTAAATTTTCAATTTCAGCTTCCAGCGCTCTGGTTCTTCTAAACATTTGGACGTAATTCATCTGTAACTGTCGTTGATATCTGAGAACCTTTTCTTTTTCTTGTACCCAGATTCTCCTTTCATTTTCAAATTGCTTGGTTTTAGCCGATATTTCTGCTTTCAGATTTTCTATTTCATTTACGCCCTCTTCCTCTACGTCAATATTTATCTTCTTAATTTCAATGTTGTCGTTACAACCATCCTCGTTGATATAATTTGCTTTATTTCTTCCAGGTTCCACATGAGAATAATCTTTTAAACTCATATCTGAGAGTTCTTCTCTCAGTTCTTTAATTTCCGCCTTTAATTTTTCTGTTTCTTCATAATTTGAATTAACTTTCATGTTTTTTTCATAAACTGGTGATGGCGACGCTTTTAGTTGCTCTATTTGCCTTTTAAGCTCCTCAATTTCTTCATCTTTGGAATTTGTTATTGAATGTAAATTTTCCAGTTCTTGATTTTTTTGTTCCAGTTGATGTCGAAGATCACGTTGGTCTGTTCGGAATAGGATGAACTCCTGGTTTTTATTAGTTTGATCGATCTGAAAAATAGAAAATGATATATTTATAACTAGTCCAGGCTGTGAGGCCGCTCCCGTTGGGAAAATGTTTCTGATTCGGTTTCTTCGCGGATTCCGGTTCAAAAATGTCCCCTTTAAACAAATCTGAAGGGTGCCGGGCGAAATTTTTGGGCAGAAATTGTTTAAACAATTTTTTTAAACAAATTCCAAAAATATTTTTTTTAATCTGGAAAACATTTTTTTAGGTTTTTTGGGCCATTTTAAACAAAAAAGGTCTCTTGTCATTTTTCTCTAAAGTTGATAGTTTTCGAGTTATAAGCGATTTAAAGTCTGAAAAACGCGAAAATACGCATTTTTGAGGCTTGAAAACACATATGTAAATTATTATTTTTGAGGTTACCAAGTGTCTAAATTAAAGTTTAAACATTCAACTTCAAGATTGTGAAGAGTAATCGGGGCTTATTTTAATTTAGACCGTTGTTTTTTAATTGTTAAATATGCGCGTACACTCGATTTTTCAGCCGCCGCGGCGCCGCGCGCTAGAGTGCGCCTCTATCGTACTTATGCATAGTTTACATATACTTACAAATAATTATTATTTATTGAGTATATATTTATTTATATCAATTGAGTTATAATATAAATTTCGTCTAAAGTCTAATAATAGTTACATAAAATAATTGTACAAAAGATTGTTAAATAACACACTAATATTACTCAGTAAAAGTATCTTTGTTTTCACAAAAATCTAAATCACATCCACATAATGGTACACAGTTGACATGATTTTTCTTGCAGTTGCAAGCATTAGTTTTGCAAGTCTTTTTGCATTTGCACGGTTTCCCAACCCACCACTATCAGACATATAATATCCATATTGTGTAAAATCGAGAGTTTGATAGCGGGAATATATGGCATTTCGCCAAATATATGTTTTAGCGAAAGCTCTTAACAAGTGTTGGTAAAGTGCGTCAGAGGTACAAGGTATATTGGCTAGATTAAATTAAATTTTTCAGTCACACTGTCTTTTCGTCGAAGAGCAGCATTTTGTATTGTTATGTAAAAATCTACTTTAGGTTTTTGCACTAACTTAATATTGTTGATGTTATTACAAAAAATACAAACTAAATTTTCTTCGGTAAGTTTTCATTTAAGAAGAGGTACGGAAAAAGACATTTTAAATCCATTCACAATTTTTTTAATAACACATTAATAATATAATACCCTTTTAATGGGCATTAAACAATAGTCTTCCTAATGATCGTTTAAGTAATAACAAATCAAGTATGAGCGCGCGATTGTTAAACAGGTAAAAACTTGCATTTTTGCGATAGTATATTGTTTTTAAACACCGCGCAATTTAAAATTAAGTTTACTAATATTAATATTTACTGCATTGTATTATTTAAATAATAATTTAAAAATATTATTTACAATTGATATAAATAAATTTATACTCAATAAATAATAATTATATTGTTCAAATTTGGAAGAAAAAAAAACTATATACGGTTATTACATTGCGATGATTGATTTATTTAATTAGCCCAATGACAATAATTAATACCTACATAAATAAATTATGGAAAAAACTATGTTAATAAACTTCAAGGATTTGTTCGGGTTTTTTTTGCGTAAGTGTATATGTAAACTATGCATAAGTACGATAGAAGCGCACTCTAGCGCGCGCGCCGCGGCGGCTGAAAAATCGAGTGTACGCGCATATTTAACAATTAAAAAACAACGGTCTAAATTAAAATAAGCCCCGATTACTCTTCACAATCTTGAAGTTGAATGTTTAAACTTCAATTTAGACACTTGGTAACCTCAAAAATAATAATTTACATATGTGTTTTCAAGCCTCAAAAATGCGTATTTTCGCGTTTTTCAGACTTTAAATCGCTTATAACTCGAAAACTATCAACTTTAGAGAAAAATGACAAGAGACCTTTTTTGTTTAAAATGACCCAAAAAACCTAAAAAAAGTTTTCCAGATTAAAAAAAATATTTTTGGAATTTGTTTAAAAAAAATTGTTTAAACAATTTCTGCCCAAAAATTTCGCCCGGCACCCTTCAGATTTGTTTAAAGGGGACATTTTTGAACCGGAATCCGCGAAGAAACCGAATCAGAAACATTTTCCCAACGGGAGCGGCCTCACAGCCTGGACTAAACCAACATACTATTAAAAGCTAGGAAGAGAAAGAAGAAAGGAAGAAAAGTAGAACAGAAAAAAAATATATTGAAAAAGTTGCAAATTACTTTATTCGGCTAGAGTGCCCATGATGGAATAGTTGTTATCGTGGAAAAACGGCTTAAAACATTGTGAACTACAGAGCTACCAAAAGGATCACATATTAAAATCAGTTTACTGTCACTCAAATTAAATAACAAGAAGAAACACAATATGAACATGTTTTCCAAACATTAGGTAATACATTCGTAGCAGGCGGTGACTATAATGCAAAATATACAATCTGGGGCTCGCGAGTATCAGATCGCGAGTGATCAGAGGAAACAACATGAAATTTACATCTACTGGGAGAATCTACGTATTGGCCAATGAACCGTAATAAAATGTTCTCATTCCTTATAGACTTCTCCATATCAAGAGGTATTAACATTAAGCTGTTCAAAGTTGAATCGAACCTAAATGTGTCATCTGATCATAGTCCAGTTATTTTAACTTGTATACGAACATAAACCAAAAGCCTATACCTCCAAGACTTTGCAATCATAACAATATATAAGAAGAATTCCAGGACAGAATTAACGCGGTAACAATCCACAGGTATCATCAAAAACAACAGTTGAGGTGGAGAATGTTCCAAGGAAATTCACAAATAATGTACAAAAATGTGTTCGCCGATCAAAACATACATAATTGTATGAGTATTGTATTGTACAATTATAAATATTACAAAAGATAGGCAAAAAATCCTATAAAGTCAATACCACCAATCAGAAACATTGCTGGACAATGGGCAAAAATAATGCATACAATGCCAAAGCATTGAGTGAACATTTAGCAAAAGTATTTCGAACACACAATTTTGTATCAAGTCCTACAGAAACTCAAGATATAGGAAGGGTCTTGGACGAGCCGATTCAAATGGCGTTGACAATAGGGAAATTTACACCTAGAGAAATATCTACTATCATGGAAGAATTTTCTGCATCAATGGAAAGTAGCGGAAGTCATAATGGTGTCGAGGCCAGGGAAGAAATCTGAAGAAATTACATCCTATACACCAATCAGTCTTTTGCCAATTCTATCCAAAATATTTGGGAAATTGTTAAAAAGACTTCAACCTACCCTAGAAAATAGAAACTTACTAGTAAGACACTAAGAGGAATGCACTGACTTGTACCCAGTTAAATCAGGTTTAACTACTAATACAAATCTAACCACCAAGGTAGTGTTTTTGAACTTGTGCTTTACTTGCTATAGAAAATGGATTTTCTATACCCAAAAACCTACAAAATTGTCTCAAAAAGATCAAACTGGCTCAATAAATGGAAAGTAAAAGCAAATGCAGCCAAATCCAAACACGTAATCTTCACAATAAAAGGGATACCTGCCCATCGCACCGGTCACAAAGAATGGTATACAGCTCCAACAAACTTTCTTCCTTTATTTCTCCCCTTCCTCGTTTTTTATATCAGGGTGTCGGATTTGGGCTAGCTATTTTAATTTCCATTCACCCATCTCTTCCATTCTTTCCTATTTTGTGCAATTATTTTCAATTCCTCTAGTAATTTTTGTTTAACTTTTTCCCATCTCTATTACTTACTGTATTCTCTATTTTTTTCTTGGTCTGTCTCTTTCTCATTTCACTACGTTATTTGCTTCATGGAATTTTCTTGTAATTCTGTTGGGTTAAATCCTTATCAAATGTCCATACCATATCATTCTTTTCTTTGCTATTGTATTTTTACACGAAAACAGTGGAACGACCACTTATTGGAGGTACGTTGAAAAACAGACATAGTCATGTCTCCATAAAAGGAAGAAGAAGAAAAAGATATTTTATTTATTATTGGTTATTGGTTGGCCATTTTCCTAATAGTCTCATTGCTTATTCTATCCCATGTCGTCTTTCCAAATATACTTCTTAGATGTCTCATCTCCATTACATTTATCCTGCTCTTATGGTTTTCCAGACCTGTCCAGTTTTCACTTGCATAGAGCACAGTCGGTATCACTATTGTCTTATATATTTTTATTCTTGTCTCTCGTGTAAGTTTTCTTTTTCGCAGTATTGAGGCTAATGCATAGTATAACTTGTTTGATTTCTTTGCTCTATTTTTACTTCCCAGTCCATTTTTCTGTCTTTAGTAATTATACTGCCTAGGTATTCGTAAGTTGTAACTATATTTTCCATGTCTGAGTTTTTACATTTTATCTTTATTTCATTATTTTCTTTGCCGCTGAATATCATTATCTTACTGTTTACCTCGGTAATTTCCATTTAAAATTTTCTTATTTGTTCTACCCATATATCCATTAGTTTCTGCATTTTATTCTCGGAATCTCCTATTAGTACAATGTCGTCTGCATACATTAAGTGTAATTGTAATTGTAATTAGTGGTATCCTATTATTGTCTGCAGTTGATTAGCTCTTATTCTAGTATTTCTTATCAATTCATTTAATACTATTATAAATAGCAAAGGGCTGAGACTATCGCCTTGTTTAATACCTCTCTTCCAATTAAATTCTTCCGATCTTTCCCCTGTTATTTGTACTGTATTATTTGTAATGTATTAGATACATTTATTTTCCTCAAATATTTCCATATAAATTGTCTTTATGTCATTTCAAATGATGTCCTTAAGTCTATGAATGCTAATACTAGTTCCCTCCCTATGTATATGCTTCTTTTTATTAGGTTCCTAATGATATATATGTTGTCATTTGTCTGTCTTTCTGATCTAAATGCCGCTTGTTGTTCTTCCAGTTCCATTTCTACTTTTTGCCTTAGTCTCTTCTCTATTTTTTTATGTATATTTTGAAGCATACCGATAACAGACATATTGCTCTACAGTTGTCGCAGTTTACATGTTCTCCATTTTTGTATGTGCACATTTTACATGTGTACAATGATGTTGTACTGCGAGTCTTTAGGGATTGTTTGTTTTTCTCACGCCTCTTTATATATTTTCCATAGCCAGTTTTTCCTTTTTCTTCCATGTATTCTACCATTTTCGGTTAAATTTCATCTTCGTCACCTGCTTGTCCATTTTTATGTTTAATAATCCTTTTATTACTTCTTCTCTACTTTTTTGCTCTAGCTCCATGTTTTCTTTACCTTCATGTATTACATTATCTTCCTTCATTACTTGGTTATCAAATTTTTTCTCATAATATTCTTTCCATACCCTAGCTATTTGTTCTGGGTTTATTTCGATTTGCTTTGAAGTACCTCTTAATGAGTTTATTTCCTTTAGTTTTTCTCTCTTTATATGTCGTATTGTCGTCCAAAACTAATAATAAAATATGTTCTCACTGGAGAAAATTCCTACTTAAGTTACTCTGATGTATCCCTGAGTGTGCAAAGTGTCGTGCCTATAAAATTCCGTATAAATGAATAGTAATGTTGTAATGTTTTTATGCAATTACGTGGCTAAATATTCCAAACCAAAGCCAAAAACAAAACAAAAAAAAAACTCCTAAATATCCTTATCAATATTGGCCAAAAATTTTTACTGATTGTGTCAATGCTAAGAACAGATTATAAAGTGGAGACAAAAAAAAATAAAGAGAAAGAAAATCAGAGTTATAAAAAAATGAGGAGGAAGGAATCACAATTAATCAAACCAGTTATTTTTCTATAAATATAGGTTAAGCTATAATACTCACCTGGAGATCTTTAAGTTGACTTTTTAATAAAGAAATTTCGCCAGTTTTCTGGCACAATCCCCATTCAGTTTCTTCTAATCTTCCTTTTAAAACAGTGACTTCTTGACGCAATCTGTCACATTGCATATTAGATCTCTGAATATCAGAACACAACCTCTTTTTCTCTTGTTGCATTTGATACGTTTGCATCATTAACATTTGTTCTAATTTAAGTACTTTTTGGGAGCTGGCCCTGAGTCTATTTTCTTGGGCAGTTTTCAGTCTTTTCAGTTCTCTTTCCCAGACTTTCTCCTTCTCCTGGTATACTCTAAAACATAAAAGAACATTAAAATATAGAACAACGTATATATGCACAACAGCAGTAAATGGCGTAGGAGCACGATTTATCAGTCCTTGCATTTGAACTACTTACAACACACCATATGTTACAAATCGTTAAAAGCCTCCTTGTTGCTTCCTGTCCTTTCTATTTTACAAAAAAAGGAAGAAGAAAATGACAGATGATAGTTATAGATATTGTAAGATGTAGTTTAAAATATTTATATTGTCTGTAATATTAAATAATCCAGTAAAATAAATTGACAATAAGAGAGGAGCTGGTTTTATTGAATATTCAAATTGATAATAAAAGAAAATAAATCCATATACTGTTTTAAATACATATTACAGCGATAGAAAGCTTTTGCTGGAAGATGTTAACTTTTACATATTTCGTATAGCTCAACGGACAGAAAATAATATAAATTATTTTCGTTCGTGGCCGTCAAAGTAGATGGCATCTTTGTAAGCTACCACTAGAGTGGAAAACAGTTAGGAGACGTTTGTTGGTCTCTCGTGTTTAATTTTGTATTTAGCCCCAGCGTCTGATAAGAACACGGGAGGCCGAAATAACTTCATGACGCTGCGTTGTTTATTACACGACGCAGAGATAAATTGTGCTCCTATTACTTTTATAAAAACATCAAAGAGATAGCAAGCTTTATAAAGTCATATGTGGGGCTGTAAACCGGATTGAGACGAATTAACTACTTCTGAATTCTTTAAGTATTTACCAGAACTCTTTCGATTTTAATACCTAGTGAACAAAATAACGGAAACAAGTAGAACATATGGACTGGATATAAACCAGCTTAACCAAGCTAATGATCATCAGCAAGGAAAACATAATTGGAGCAAATCTGTATGTGAACCAAATGAGAATTGAACGTGTCTCATAGTACAACTAATTGGGAACTATAATCAATGAGTCGTGGGACAATAACCAAGAGATTAAATGTCCCATCGAAAAGGCAAAAAAATGCATTCTTTACTATGAGCTCTGTGATCAAGAGCCATAATCTCACCTAGAAACAAAAATAAGGCTTCTTAAATGTTACGTGTACTCAGTGTGTCTGTACGAAGTAGAAACGTGGACATTAAAGTTGGAAACTATCAAAACTTCTCCACTAAAACTAAGCTACTCCAATCCAATACAGCTATACCGAACAGTAACCAACAAAGTCATCATAGCCAGAATGATCGCCAACGTTCGGAACCGACAGGCACCCTAAGAAGAAGAAGTGGTCTCAAAACACAGAATTGTATGCAAAAAAGTATATCTCAATCTTAAGTAGAATGTACAGCTTACACTGTTGTCCCATTAAAGATGTAAATACAATAGAAGTGGAAGAAACCCGTGGAAAAGTGTGGAGAATAAGATGGTCTTGGATGGCCTTGGAATAATTAAATACTAAATTATGAATTCTAAAGTAGTCGAACTGTCATCAAATGAACATTTTTATATATAATTTTTCTGTTTAAATGATTATAACTTTACAATAGGCAACGGGCAACCAATTAAATACAACAAAAAAATAAAAAATAAGCACACACATAACATTTAATATTTTAAAATGATCACAGAAAAGAATCATGAAAAAAAAAGGTTAAGATATTTGGTGGTGGAGAAAACCAAATGGAAATCCATAAAGAAGAGAAGATTTTTTGAAGTTTTGAAGGTGCCATAAATTCTAAGAAATAGTAAAATGACTAGAAATAGTAATAACGATGTAGAAACAAAATGATTGTGTTAATATTGTACAGAACAATATCATGTTTTCAGAAATATAGACATATTAACAATGGTCTTACCGGAGCAAAATTCAAAATGTAAATCTTTTTCAAAAATTGAACAGATAATATTTTTCAAAATTTAATCTTACCTGAAAATGACTTGTTCGTTATGTTCCATTGTTTGCCGTAAATACGCAAGTTCGGAATCTCGATCTCTAAGGGCTGCCTCCAGTTCCGAAATTCCGGAATCAGAAGGTGATGGGGTGAGATCCAACATACTGCTATGGTTTGATGCTGACATTAGGCGATAGGAAAGTTTGTTTCTAAAAGATGTATACATAAAAGTTATAAAATAACCTCAAATATTTATTTTATAGGCTTAAAATCACTACATTGTAATTTTATTAATGAACTATGATATGGTTTCTCAGAACAGACATTGTTCTGATATATGGCGAAACGGGACCTGAATATTCTAAAATGTGAAGTAGAAATGGCACTTATAAATTCCAAAACTGGGGAAGGCAAATGGACCGGATGAGGTTCCTACCGAATTGCTAAAGCTCTTGAATGATCAATCAATAGGTATAATATTGCAACTTATTTAATATACAATACTGGTATTATACCTCAAGAGTGGCTGTTGTCTACATTCGTTACACTGCCAAAGAAATCTAATGCATAAAAAATGTTCAGAACATCGAACAATATCTTTAATGAGCCACCTACTAAAGATATTTCTAAAATCATTCCACAACCGAGTTTATCAAAAGTTTTAGTCAGATATTAGTAATACACAGATGGGGGTTTCAGAAAAGTGCTTGGTGCTCGAGAAGCTCTCTTCGGTTTAAATGTTCTCACACAAAGATGCCTAGACGTTAATCAGGAGGTACATACGTGTTTATCGATTTTGAAAAAGCGTTTGACAGAGTACGCCATGATAAGCTTAGAGAGATTCTTGAAAGGAAGGACATAGATAATAAAGATCTGCGAATTATTCTCAATCTATATTGGAATCAGAAAGCTAACATCAAAATAGAAACTGAAACATCACAAGCAATAGAAATACGTAGAGGAGTACGACAAGGTTGCATTTTGTCACCTCTGTTATTTAATGTATTAGTGAAAGCATCTGTCAGGAAGCCCTTTTACAAGCAAACGGAGGAATCGTAATTAATGGAGAGATTGTAAAATAATATTCGATACGCGGACGACACTGTACTAGTTGCAAGAACAGTAGAAGAATTACAAAGATTACTTACAGACTTAAATATTGCTTGAAACAATTATGGTATAAATATCATATTAAAAAAACCAAGTATTTGGTCTTCAGTAAAAACATGACACAACCAGCGTATATTAGTATAAACAGCACTCAAGTTGAAAAAAAGTATCAAGTTACAAATACTTGGGAACTTTAATAAACGAAAAACTGGAGACCAAAACAGGAAATACAAAGACGTATCGAAATTGCCAGGGCCACTTCATAAAGATGAGAAAATTCTTCTGTAACAGAAATATAAGCATCCCTCTACGATTAAGGAATGCTGAGTGGCTATGTATTTAACACGCTATTATACGGTGTAGAGGCCTGGACTCTCAAACAGAACAACATGAAAAATATTGAAACTTTCGAGATGTGGTGCTACCGTCGAATGCTGAAGATTAGTTGGGGTTGAAAGAATAACAAACTGTGAAGTAATACGAAGAAATAGGAAAAGACCCAGAGATTTTGTTAACGCTTAAGCGAAGAAAACTCGAATATTTTGGTCACCTGATGAGAGGACATAAATACGCATTACTTCAAAATATAATGCAGGGGAAAAATAGAAGGAAACGGAATCCAGCCGTAGAAGAATGTCATGGTTGCGGAATTTGAGAGAGTGGTATGGCTGCACCACTAATGAAACTCTTTAGGTCAGCCGTAAACAAGGTCAGAATAGCCTTGATGATTTCCAATCTCCGATAGGAGCGGCACAAAAGAAGAAGAATGGTTTATCAGATAACTGATGGCCAAATAGGGTTTATGTATAATAAAGAAACAGGAGAACAAATTTTAGATGTCTGACAATTAATAAAAAATTCATATTAAGTTAATGTTGAAACCTATTTATGCTTTGTCGATTACGATAAGGCGTTCGATTGCGTAGAGTAAGGAAGACTTATGTTTTAACAGAAGGACTTTAGAAAGACATTTTGATAAGAATACAAAAAGACAAAAGGCTGTTAACCACAAAAAAAACAGCCAAAATCGAATACTTCGGTCATATAATAAGGAACAGCGAAATATGTGGATTGTTGCAACTAATTTTACAAGAAAAAGTAGCAGGAAACCGATAAACTAGAAAGATGAAGGATGTCCGTAAGTGGTTCAACAAAACAACCACAAATATTTTTCAGAGTAGCAGTGTGCAAAGTACAGATTGTCATGATGGTCACCAACATCCGAAATGGATAGGCACTAGAAGCGTATGGTTAATTTTGGTAAATATGGGGAGTTCCAAAACATATGTACGTTTATACCATAAGAAAACTGTCTACTACATGAAAACTGTTTCGGAAGTAAAGGTCAACAAGGTTATATAAAACAAGTATATATGATCGATAGAAAATCATTCAAATTGGGAAAAAAGTGTTTGGAAAAAGAATAACAGAAGGTACTTTTTCTAGAACTTAACAAAAGCAATTATTACTGGTTGGAAAAGACTATTGTTTAAAATATTATCGAAGTAATACTTTGAGAACTATCAGCATATGGAGCTCAAACCTCATCGATAACTTACTAACCTTAAAGATATCATATTTATGATCGAAAGAAAACATGTGTGCTTGCAAAGTACATTTTAAACTCAAGTACGAATAATAATTGAATGTTGGCCCTTCATAAATATTCTGACTAATCCTGATGTTTGCACGCTGATGACAGTAAATATTTTTAATGATACGTAGGTTTTTTTATCAATACCTACCTTCTAAAGAATATTTAATTTCAGTATGTTTAACTCTTTTCAAAGGGCCTTCTCAAAGTTGATGGAATTCGACCGTTACTTGATGAAAATTCATTTTATGTAACAATAAACACTGAAAACTCTGCCCAAAACTTTACTCGTCAAACTGGTAGAAACTTTGATAAACGAATAGCAGAACATAAAAGGGCTTTCAAGAAAGAAAACAGATTCGACATACCGCACTTCTCTTCTAGATCCATTAATCATTCTTTTAATGACAAATTTAAAATTCTTCACATTCAAAATAAAGGCCTTAAGCTATCTTTGTTAGAAATCTATGGAAATCAACAAATTAAAAACACAGATATAATTCTGAATGACCAACTTGAGACAAACAGTTCTCCATTCCTCAACTATTTCATTAGATACTATATAAATTGTAAACCCAAGCCAAAAATAGATTCACTTGGGTAAGGCTTCAGCCGAAAACAACTGTAGTGATAAGATTTAAAATAAATTTTGTGGAAGTTTGAAAACAAAGTTTTCAGTGTTTTATTGTTACACTTCTCAAAGTGATATAAAATACATACAGAGTGGCCCAAAAGTTTGGAAACGACCAATTATCTCATAAATTGCTACTCATAATTGTACAAAATTTTAAGTACACCTATTTTCGGATACGAAGATTCCATATTTGATATTTGCAATGTTGCGATATTTGTCGTTTCTCTTATATTATTAGTAACTTTGGTTTTTTAAATACATCACCCTGTATATTAAGGCATCATTGGAATCTCCTATTCAAAAAGAGTTCACTCATCTGTAACACTTATGATCTTATGTAGTCTAAAAGTCTTCACTTAATCCTTGGAATAAGGTAATTTTGTATGGTTTAAATTTATTCTTACGTAATACATGTAAAACTGAAGAACGACCTACATTATGTATTTATGCAACCCTGCGTGAGGATGTATGTTGATCTTCAACAAAACTTTTGTTGTCATTCATAACTCTTTTCGGTCTACCTGATCGGTATCTATCTTTTACTTCTCCAGATTCCTCAAATAGCTTTACAAGTTTTTATACCGTCCAACTGTTTTGTAACCGAACAAGTTGGCTACTTCACAATAAGATTTTTTTCTGTGACCGGACCCTCTCACCATTAGAATAGTAATTCGTTCTTTTTCGCCATTTTACAGAAACAATTTTTGTTGCAGAACTTTTCGAAACACAACTACTGTCAGTTTTAGTTAATAATCTAAATGGTGAACAAATGTCAAAATCACAGCATTTTATATTTAAATATATTGAAATCTACATATTTTGCACTGTTTTATATGTTTAAGGCCTTCCAGACTACATAAAATCAATAGTGTTACATATGGTGGAACTCGTATTGAATAGGAGATTCCAATAGTGACTGAATTATACAGGGTGATAAATTTGAAAAACCAAAGTTACTAATAATATAAGAGAAACGAAAAATCTGGCAACACTGTAAATATCAAATATGGAATCTCCGTATCCCAAAATAGGTTTACCTCAAATTTTGTACAATTATTACTAGCAATTTACGAGATAATTGGCCGTTTCCAGACTTTTGGGCCACTCTGTAAAAGCTGGACGGCGAACATATCTGCATCTCTGTACCATAATCTGAATACTAAATAGTACTTCTTTGGTTCTATGGTTATTGCGAAACTCAAACTGCGTGTCACAGTTGTTCTTCTATTTTTTGGTACATCCTTTGTACCAAGGACGCAAGAATTAAGTGTAAGGAGCGCAAAATTCGAAGAAATATTTTTAAAACATGGCTCATCAAGCTGATATTTCGATTTTTTTTTACTTAATTAGATGGCTTTGGTAAAGACCAATTAGCCAGACGATTTTTTTTAACTATAATTAATTTAAAAAGAAAACTTTAAAAGAAAACTCATCCTTCTTCACAATAACAATGCTTTAAAGTATTAGGGGATTTATTATGGGATTTGAATTGACATGATTTATAATTTAACTCCTATTTGTTTGCTGTCATATAGTTCTTGCCATTTAGCCTTAAGTTGAACTTTAAGTGTGGAATTCAAATCTGTATATGGAATACACTGGTTAATAGAATCTCTGTGTAAGTCTGAGGCGGATTTTGCAAACTTATCAGCAATTTCGTTTCCTTGAATACCGAATGCCCTTTGATCCAAACTATTAGCACCTCCCGTTGCGAGCTAAGTATTTCGTGATTGGTCTGTAGTATTTCTACTTCTAGATGACTTAAGTTCTTGGCCGCACTTATATTTTTTAGTCTCTCTATGACACTTTTGCAATCTGTAAATATAATACTTTTGAGTCTATACGTCCTAAGTATATATTTTAGAGCTTCA